TTTAATATGTCGAGTCTCCCCAGTCCCACCCCCCCCAAACTTCCTTCTCCACACTGCATCCCCCTGAGCTGCCAGTGTAGCATGCTCCTTGCCTGGGCAGCCAGGCCCTTTGAAGGCAGGGTGGGTACAGGGGCAGCAGTGCCCACCAGAACTGGTGCTAGGGAGACTGGGTTGCTGCTTGGTGCTTGGGAAAATTAGGTGCAGTTTGAGCCCCAACTCACCTGATTTTATCTCTTGGGCAGATTCATCATGGAGAAGCGAGGACTTCCCAAATGCCTTCCTTCAATGGCCCCTAATCAAGGTAGTCAAATGCCAGTCACTTTCTTTTTAATATTTTCCTGGTTTTTATTTTACTTTTGGTATTTAATTCTGTAATGTAGAAATTCCCATAAGGCATACTATGAAAACCAGCAGCCCCTGCTCCTTCTCAACTTCTCACACCTTAGAGACAACTATTTTAATCTGTTCAGTTTCTTTTAGCATTACTCTCTGTTCTCTAAATACCATACTTACACTACCACTAACTTGTTTTTCCATTTTAGACTTTATTTATGGTCTTCCCTCTATGGGAGAGGAGTAATTACCTGTAGTTCCAGCATTCTTACCATCCTCATCACTCGCCATCCTCACCCCTGCCCACCTACTCCAGCCCACACATACCTCAAGCTCCCCACCTCACAGCAGAATTCACTATTCAAAATGGGCCATCTAGTCAATCAGGATCACTTTCCTTCTTATATAACTTTTGAATTTTCCAAGACTTAATACTTGGGCTATTATTTGCTTTTTGACCACTAAACCATTCTCAGACTCTTCCCCAGTTGTTTAAATTCAAACACAGTCAAGTATCCTATCAATTTCACCTTCTGGTGGCATTGCCATACCCTTCTAATCTGCTCCAGTCTAGGCTGGCTGCTGTCAGACAACTCTAAGCCACTCTCCTGGGATCTCCCTTCACCATCATCTGGGGAATTCCTTCCCCACTTTGGAATTTTATACCCTCTTAGTCTGGTTTATTTTTTCTTTCTTGGTTTGGTAACATTCCCAGGGAAACATACATCCAAAAAAAATTATTTGAGATTTTGCATATTCAAAAGTGTCTTTATTCTACCCTTCCTGATTTGTGATAGTTTGGTTGGGTATTGAATTTTAGATGGGAAATCCTTTTCCCTCAAAATTTTGAAGACACTTCCTCCTTCTCTCTCTCTCTGTCTCTCTCTGTCTCCTCTCTCTGGAAGTTTTTAGGATCTTTTTCTTTCCAGAACTCAATTTTTTAAAAATAGATAGCTTTGGTAATATTATGTCTCTAATTTTCTCATATTTTATGCCTCTTATTTTTCATTTTTGTCCTCTTTTCTGGGAGATTTCCTCAACTTTATCTTTCAAAATATCCATAGAGATTTTAATGTCTACTCTCATAATTTTGATTTCAAAGGGCTCTTTTTTTGTTTTGTTTTGTTTTCCTGAACGTTTCTTTAAGAAGCATCTTGTAATTGGTTCATGGGCATCATCTCTTTCAAAAGATATTAGTGATATGTTTTTGTGAAATTTTCTCCCATGGCATGAACTGTTTCCTGCAAGTTGCTTTCTTTCTGTTTGATTATCAGTTTCCTATCTCATGTTAGTCTTCCTCTAATGTTCAATGACCCCTTGTTGGCTGCCCATATTGAAAAGGGGACCCTGGGAAGCTAAATGGCAGCTCTGAAGCAATGAGTGGGGCCTGTTAACTGTAGGTTCCACAGAATTTATATGGCTGGGCTGCCAAATTGGGGAACCCCATGTGTCAGTTTCTTAGGACTTTTCTCTTAGGCTGCACAGGTTTCCCAGGAAAGAATCTTCAGATTCCAGCATTGTCTTCAGCCAAATTTCCATAGATGTGTATTCAGTCTGGGCTGTCTATTCCATTCTATTGCTCATTTATCTCTGTTTGAACACCACACTGTCTTCATTCCTGTAGCTGGATGCCACTTCATGATGATAAACCAGGTACCTCCATCATGTTGTCTTTCTCGAGGGCATTAAAATTTTATAGCTATTGTGAAATTGTTCACTATAATATTTCCCTTCATACACTGAGTGTCCTAAATCTTTTTAACTTTGCCAGTCTGACAGATGCATAACAATGGCACAATCTTTCCTTTAATTTGCATTGCTTGATTATAAGTAAGCTTTAGCATCCTATATGTATAGGGACCGTTAGCTTTTCCCCTTTTATAGATTGCCTATGACTACTTTTTGCTTTTTCTCTATTTGGTTGTTTGTCTTATTGATTTTTAGTGTTCCTGAATTTTGGGACTTTATCAATTCACACTTTCTTTAGTCAATTAAGGATCTCTCACCGCACCCCCCTTCCCCCACTTATACTGGAGTCAAATCTAGGTCAACAAAAAGGAACATGGTTTACATATTATCACATGATTGGAAAGAGTGCTCTAGTCCTTGGTTCACACAGCCACCCCTTGTTTCTGTTTCTATTGGTGTCTGGCCATCAGTCCATGCAGGTCACTCTGAGCCCTCTAGGTCCTATCTGCAAAGCCCCTGCCATCCACCAACCCTCCTATAGCTCACCTAGGCCATTCTTGGTTGCTTTTGGAGTCACACTGAGCTCTGAGCCTGAGTTTGGGAGAGCAGATATAAATAGCTCTGCAGGGCCCACATAAGTCATTTAAGAATGTTCAATAAAGCATAGACTTGATATGCCTGGATCTCCCAGGACTTTGATTTCTGATGCTTAAAAATCCAAAACTCAAATGTTTTTAACTATTATATCTGTCCTTAGTTCCAAAACTCTCCCATAGTGTCCCTTTCTTTCTGTTTATGCCAACTTCTGAATGCAGAGAAGATGGGGTCAAAAGAACCAGCAACAGGGCTGTGGCCATGTCTCAGAGCATGCACCCCCTCTTTCCCAGTGCTGTGGGTCCTCCGACCATTCTGAAATTAATTTAAGGTATTAATATGAGTTTGAGCTTTTCTAGCCAAGAACTGGAAAAAAATTCACCAGTGAGATGATCTGATCCTGGCTTTTTAAATTTTTGAATGATGATTATGGAGAAAGAGGGCATTTGTTGAAACACTCTCAATTTGTTCCATTATAGTGGGTCTGTTGGAGTTGTTCTTTATTCCTGACACTATTAATTCTTGGGTCCTTGTGTTCCAGTAATGCCTCCCAACAGTGACTCAACCACCCCTGGTAAAAGCCCCACCCTTGCTGTCCCCTACTCACCACTATCACTCACCTGCCATCTTCCCTACTGCACTGCCCTGGAAGCTGACTTCTGTCCCCACCACTGTCCTGATGCTGTTCTCACCCATGCCAGGTGGCTAACAAGAATGGCCACATCACAGGCCTGCTCTGTCCCACATAGCCAACTTTGTGGGCAGTTCACCGCTCCTTGATCTGTTGTCTCCACCTTGGATCTGGGTGCACCTTCCCAGTTTCCTCTGCATTAGTAGTCCTGAAAGATGCTTTTTCTCTATCTTTCCATTAGAGGTTAGCAGTAGACTTTAGGGTTCTGTCAGAGGTGTTCTCTGTTCCTCCATTCTCTCATGCTGATCTTGTCAGCCCCCATGGTGGTGATGACCAACTCTGTGTAGAAGACTCAGATGCAGCTCCAGCAGAGCCCTCCACTGAGCCCCAGACTCACATCTCCACTTGGAAAACACAAACACCTCATCATCATAAGTCCAATACTGAACACATTTTTGTCATCCAAACTTGCATCTTGAGCTCTACCTTGGGTAAACAGTTTCATGCCCTCTCTGTTGGGGGAAAGCAAATGGCAGCGGGGGTGTGCTTAACAGATAGGAGAGTGCTCTGCAGACAAACAGGGTCAGTTGGGACCCCAGATGCCCCCTTTCATCCAGCCTGCCTTCAGGGTATCCCTGGGCTCCTGCTGCCTTTGCTTACCTCTTCACATCTCCCCAGATGGCTGCAGCTCTCCCCAGCCTTCCCACCTCTAGGCACACTCCCTTCCCTTCTATGTCCTTCACTTTCCAAAGTCCAAACATGATGACTTGTTCCCTTCCTTGAAACCTTTCAATAGCTCTCCTTTGATCTTAGCATAAACTAAAACTTGACTTAGCTTAAAGGGGTCCTTATGAGCTTCTCCCTCTTGCTGTGCTATCCTACAGCTAGTCCAGGCTTCTTTTAGTTCTGGAAGCCTGCCCCCAGTCTCCCCCGCTGGGAATCCTCTCCTGCCGCACTCTGCCTTGGCTTTGCTAAATCCTGCTCATTCCTGAGGTCCTGACTTACAGCATTTTGTTAACTCCTCCTGTCCCCAAGTACATGCTCCGATGACACTAATCTAAGCACTTGCTTGTAGTAACCAAGTCTTTGTAACACCCCAGGGGTTGGTGTATCATATCAATTCATGAAAAAGGAAATTGAGACCCATCACAAGTAAGTTAAGATGAAATTCCATGGGGCACCTGGCTGGCTCAGTTGGCGGAGCGTGCAACTCTTGATCCTCAGAGTTGTGAATTCGAGCCCCATGTTGGGTGTAGAGATTACTTAAAAATAACAAAAATCTTAAAAAAAAAAGGTAGAATTCCAGGCACTCTGGATTCAAAACCACCTTCCTTGTTATATCCTAAATCCTTTACCTTCCAACTTATCACCTATCAGTGACATTACATTTTTTTGTTTTGTTTTGTTCTATTGGTCTTTTTTATTGAAGTTTAAGCTTGGTGAGGGCAGGGACTGTCACTTTGATTCAAATTTAATCTAGTGAATTTAAATTGAATCTAGAGACAGTTTACTCATCAGTAAAATGGGGATGGCAATTACCTCTCTGGACAGGTGGTGGGGAGGGCCAAATGAAATGACCAGTGGAAAGTACTACACATAACAGGTCCTTGGCAGAGGGGGTCTCCACCTCATACCCTCCCCCCATTCTCCTGGCCCCAGAGCTTCCTGGAAAAGCTCTGATTTCTTCTTCCCACTTTCTGCCTCTCTGTTTTGCCTCAGATATATGCATTCTCGGGAGCTAGACTGCTCTGGTATGGAAGGTGAAGGCACCACGAAAGCAGATGGCCCTGTGAAGCCAGGCCATCCCTTGAAACCCTTTGCTTATGTGAAACCTATCAGATATGAGACGCCAGCATTCACAGCTCATCATAGAGAGAGATGCCAAGGCCACCGTGGGAGAAGAAGTCAGCAGGTAGTAAGAAGCCACCTTAGGGAGACAAACCTTAGCAGAGACCCTGGCCTCCAGATGAGGCCAAGACGCATGTTGAGACCAGGTCTCCGTGTGGATACGGACCATGGTGAAGAGCCAAGCCACCATGTGGAGCCAGAAGCCAGGCGGACCCCATCCTTCCCTCTTACAGAAACAGTGACAGTGCACAGAGATGGGCTGCAAGGCCCTTGCCTCCACGCAATCCAGCCTGGGACAGGACTGCAGGAGCTACCCAATGCCTCTGGGTATTGGGTTCTCACGAATTCCCCAACTTCATCCATCTATCCCTGCTTAGGGTTCAGACCCTTGGAGGGCTCAACTTTGCTCTTCACACAGACCCCTTCTGGTACCTTTGTGTACGGGGTCCCAGAATTTTTCACCCACATTGCACACTGACCTCCATCACTTGCCACCAGCTCCTGTTCTGACCTGGGTGTTACTCCCAGCCAGAACCCAAGTCCCCATTTCTGTCCCCACTCACTCCTCCCATTCCTAGCCTTTACCTCATGTTGTCCAGACTGAGACTGCAAGTCTCCTCCAGGATCCTGGCAGGGTCACATGTACGCTGCCCATGCCCCTCTGCTGTCTCTTCCTTTTGTTTTATCAAAGATGTACATGCATTTTGTTCCTCAATACTTACTGAAATAAATCCACAAGCTCCTCTTGTCCTCCTCTGTCTCAGTGTATTCAGGCTGCTATAATAAACAGCACAGTCTGGGTGGTTTATAAACCTCAGACATTTGTATCTCACAGTTCTGGAGGCTGGAAGTCCCAGATCACCAACAGATTCTTTGTGAGAAACCCCTTTCTAGTTTATAGATAGCTGTCTTGTGTCCTCACATGGCTGGGGGCATGAGGGAGCTATCTGGCATCCTTTTTATAAGGACACTAATCCCATTTATGAGAGCTCCATCTCCTAATACCATCATACTGGGAGTTAGGATTTCGACCTATGGATTTTGGAAAGACACATTCAGTCTATTGTATGCCCCCACAACTACCATTTTTCCAATCCTGAGATGTATAACCACGAAATGTTTTAGAAAAATGAACACAGTGAAGGAGCAAAAAAGGAGAAGTCACATCCAAGGAAATAAGAACCAATAGAACATTCAGAAAAAGACTTTTAAAGATTTTATTTATTTATTTGAGAGAGAGAATGAGATAGAGAGAGAGAGCATGAGAGGGGGGAGGGTCAGAGGGAGAAGCAGACTCCCTGCTGAGCAGGGAGCCCGATGTGGGACTCGATCCCGGGACTCCAGGATCATGACCTGAGCCAAAGGCAGTCGCTTAACCAACTGAGCCACCCAGGCACCCCAGAAAAAAACTTTTAAAGAGTATAATTAATATCCTCAGAGAGATATGGGATGATAGGCTATCTCTGACATAATAGTATGCACGTCACATTAAAAAGCCAATTAGAAATGCTTGAGATGAAGCATAAGGTTGTTGGAACACAAAATTATGTGATTTGAATTGCAGAATGGACAGGACTGAGGTACAAATCAGTAAACTAGTTGTTTGGGCAGACAGAGCCTCCAGAATGTGGAAGGTGTAAGGTTTGAAAAGTATTTCACACCGACAATAGCTCCCAAAGTTGGGATGTCTAACACAGGAGTTCTATCAAGAGGCACAGGACACTTGGACAGTAATAATATATGAAATTTGGCTAATTTCCCCACACTGAAGAAAGACATGAATCCTGAGCAGGATGCAACAATCACATACACCTGGATGAAGTATGGTGCAGAGAAAGTTCCAAAAATCACCTGTGAGATGAGACCTACAAGGAAAACAGAGTTAGTCTGACATCAGACTTTCCTTGGCAGCTCCATTAAATCTAAGAAAGCAATGGGGTGACATCCTCAAAGCTTGGGGAGTAAATAACTCTGAGTCTAGGGTTCTATAATCAGCCAGAGATGTTCTTGAGTTCAGGACCAGGTGGTGCATAGACAGGAGGTTCTGGAACTCCTGCAGCCAATTCACCAGCTCCGGAGAGTGGAGGGATGGGAGGAGGGTAGAGCAATGAGAAAACAAGCCTGAACACTAATAAAACTGGACCTGAAGCATGAGCTTCCTCTGAATCCTATTGTCCACAAGCTAATAAAGCCAGCTTGTTTGAGTTGAGTTTTCTGTTACCTGCAGTGAAAGCACAGATGTTTCTCAGCCAGTATTAAAAAAAAAAAAAGAACTCAGAAGGAATATGTGGGATGCAAGAAGGAACAGTAAGCAAGGAAAATAGTAAATTGTATTATTAAGTTTAAATAGGTATGATTCTGGAAGAAAGATGAATAACCTGGAATTAAAATTCCAGAAGACATTAACATAGAAATGTGGGGGGTGGGGAAGTTCAGGAGGAGCTGAAAATTACTAAAATTCTTGTCTAGTTTCTGGAGATTTTATAGATGCTGAATATGAAGGAACAATGGAACTCAAAACAGTTTAAAGTATGTGAACCCATTGGTAAGCACTAAATGAACTGAACTAGAATGCAAAATTTCAAACAGATTGAGGAAAAAGTAGATCAAAGAAAATTTGGTGAATCAAACAAAAGGCATAGGGGGTTGATAGAAACAAGGAGAAAGCATGACACATTTCGAATGTTAAATAAGAAATAAGTAACTTGATGGCAGCCTCCTGTGTGTTCCTGGCTTCAGTGGGAATATTTTAAATGTTTTACCATTAAGCAGGGCATTTCCTGTAGGTTTCTCATAGATATGCTTGATCAAGTTGAGATTGTTCCCATCCTCTCAGAGTTTGATAAAAGGTTTATTATGAATTGGATTTGGTATTTTATTAAGTAGGCTTTGACTGGTTGATTTTAAGACTCATTTGTAAGAGAAAATGTCCAAGAAAAATGAAGAAAATTTTTCCCATGAGCGATTTTTTCTTGTGTACTCAACCATCCTCTTAAATAAACCCTTCTCTTTGGCTTTTATTGTAGTATGATTCTTTTATTAAAATTTCAGTTTTCATCTTACCAATATAAGAAGAATTTACCATCACTGGAAAAAGAAACACACAAAAAGACAGAAAAGATGTCTTCTCTTCTTCTTTCCTATTGTTCTTTTCCCACAATCATACAAGCCTATACAAACATAAGTGTACATTAAAAGGCTTCATTTTGGTTTGACTTTACAAAAATGGGACGTACTATCCGCCCACGTTCGCACGGAAGTGACTAAAGGGTCCAGGCAGGTAACACAGGTGTGGTGGGGGCTGGGGGCCGACACCTCATTGGAGCCCATTCTCCACCTGAAGTGGGCAGAGGTGCCTTGGTATAGAACCACTGCACAGACCACCACGAGCAAGTCTGTGGTGGGAGCTGCTTCGTGCCTTGCCATTGGGATGTCTCCTACGTGCCAGCTTGCCAGCTTTCACCCTGGCATAGCTTCTGGTCAACCCATGTATCACTACCTCCCCAGTAGCTGGGTATCTCTCCAAAAAATGCACAGACTTGAGGTTACACAGCGACCCTCCACTGATGGATCCCATTCCAGGGTGTTTCTACCACCAAGATGCTTAGCTGACCATTTGCACATGGAATCTTAAGGACCTGTTCTTCTGATCTTATAAAATAAATTCTCAAAGTGAGATTCCTATGTCAAACGGCCATATTTTATTTTAATAGATATTAAGAAATTACATTCAAATTAGGTTGTATCAATGTCACTTCCCACCAGCAGTATATGAGGGCACCAATTTCCCCACAGTCTTCCCAGCAATAAATCTCGGCACACTACAATTTTTGCTAATCTCTTGAATAAAAATATGTCATTATTGTTCGAATTTGAATTGTCAGGACTACTAGTAAGGTTTAGTACCTTTTTATGCATTTATTGGCCATTTTTATTTCTTTCTCTGTTAATAGCCAATATTTGGCCTTTGCACAATTTTCTACTGGGTTTTAAATCTTTTTCTTATCAATTCATAGGAATTTCTTATATGTTAGAAATAGTGATATTTTTCGTGTGTCCTACAGATATTTTTCCCATTCCAACTTTCCTCTTCTGACTTGCTGAGGCTGTCTTGTGTCTGCCTGTTTCCAGCCCACCCGTCTCTGTGTCCCAGCCCCCAAGCTGCTCCTCTGTTCCTGCAATGGGTTCTGCTCACCACCTTCTCCCCCTGCCCCAAGAGTTTCATCGGTTGCTGTAGGTGGCCCCTTTGCACAATGTGGAAATTGTTTTCTTGGTCATTTCAAGAACACCCCCAGTTGCTATGCTTTTATTAATGGGATGTTTATCCTAAAACTTGAAGACCACTTGTCTCTATATATTAAATACATACTTAATATATATTATATTAAAATCTACTTGCTATCACCAGGGGATATGCGTCTTTGTACCTTCATGTTAAACAAGGAATCAAAAAGCCTGTTCTGCACCTGAAAGTCATCTGATAACAAGGACATCTTTCAGGACCTGGAGGTTCACTTGTCAAAATGGTATCAGTGCTGTAAGGGACACTGGGACACCCTGGCCGTCTGGACCTCCAGCTCTGGGATCTCTCTCCTGCCTGTTCATGTCACTGAGCCACCTGATCTTCGTCCAGATGGTTCAAGACTGCACAGAAGAAACGTGGACGCCCCTCTGCCCTCAGGCAGGTGAGGAACCCCGCTCACATTCAACTTCCATCCCCTTTCCAAGACGTCACTGAGCCCATTTTCCCTCCACTCTCTATTCAGAGATGGCAGGAATGTTAGCTCATGACTCACCTTTCCTGTTTTTCTCTGATATGTCCTTTCCCTCCCACCTCCGCCCACTGCTGGCCACTGGGGGGCAAGTCTCACCCAAATGCAACCCTCCTGCTGCCCTCCCCACCTCTCCCCCTCTTCCTCCAACTCACAGGACCTCACCTTGCCTGGCAGGGTGGGGACAGTGGTCCAGAATGCTCAAAGATGCTTTGATGTTTCTTCTTTGTAGCAAAACTTTCTCCCCAGAATGCTTTGGGGTTCTGGATTTTGATAATCAAAAATTAGTATTTTAGGACTCAATATTATTCTCAGGTATGGATCTCAAGAGTATATTTTGAAAGTTAACAACAACAACAAAAATGCACAGCAAGCAAGAATTTCTGTAGTGTGGATGCCCCAAAAGTGAAATTTCTGTTAGTGATAAAAGTGCATCTACAGCTTTTCTAAGTACATCCAGGCTATCCTTCTAGATGGGTGTGCCCATTGATCACCCCACCAGCAGCAAGTAACACATTCCCCATGGCCTTCAACAACACTTGGTGTTATCAGTCTTTTTCCATTAGATTATTTATTTTGCATTTCCCTAGTTACTAATGATGTGTCATCTCTTCAAATGATTATTTCCTTTCCTGTTCCTTCTTGAATTCTCACTCTCGTTCCTTACCCAAAATACCACCATCTGTAAATGGCAATAATAATTATA